TCAGAAAAGGATTCATAAACTTAGGGCAAATGCATTTTATGCGTACATGAAAGAAAAAACCGATGAATCTGTGTGCAGTTTGTGTTTTGATCTACAGCAAATACAACAATTGCCAAAAACAAACATTCAAGATGCATATTATCTGAGGCAGTTGAATTTTTATAGTCTATGTATTACTAGTTTGGATGGCAAAACCCCAACATTTTATACATGGTCTGAAGAGCAGGCAGGAAAAGGCAGTACCGAAATTTCCTCAGCTCTACATTCTCACCTAAGAACAATGAATCTTAAAGGAATCAAGACTTTACGACTTTTTTGTGACGGATGTGTTGCCCAAAACAAGAACAATATCAACCTTCAAATGCTTTTGCACTTTCTCTACTCTTCAAATAATGCTGACATTCAAGAAATTCAACTCTACTTTCCGGTCAGAGGCCATAGTTTTCTGCCAGCAGATCGTGTGTTTGGTAGGGTTGAGAAAATCCTTAGGAAAAGTGTAACAATAATATCCAAAGAACAATATTATGAAATTTACAAGAACATTGGAGCTGTAAAAGTTATGGGTGTTGATTGGGAACTTCTAAATACCAAATCACTCAACAGGTTCTTCAAAAATCTTTCATACATATCAGAATTAAAAAGGATCTTTCTCAAGAAACACACAGGAACAGAAGCTGTCAAGGTCAAGGGCTTCAGAAACTATAGATTTGAAGATGGAAGTGAGCAAGCTGGAGAAGGACTCCTGAAAAGAGGAATAAAAGTTTCAAACGTCAGAAATATAACTTTAGAATCTCTTCCACTAAATCGTCCCATTTCTGCCGAGAAGGAAAAAGATGTTGAGAAACTCTTGAAACTATTATATGGCGATGGATGGCAGAGTGAGCCTGATTTTGAATGGTACAGGAAAATATTATTCGATGAACAATACGGGAATGAAGAGGAAGATGAAGTGTGTAACTGTTTGGATGAAGATATTGGAATGAGAATTTAAATTGTTGAGTATGTATTAGTATTGTGTTTTATGTTACCATATTTTTTAATTTCTTAATTTGTGTGTTGCGTTATTTCAAAATTTTTCAAATTCTTGAATTGCACCAATAAACCCCATTGACTTTGTGTTATTTGTTTGTTGTATTACTTAAATCATTCAAAAAGTGTTTTATCCTTGTGAGACTCAATCAAAACATGTTTTCTCCTTAGTATTCTGTCAAAATGTGTTTTCTCCAAAAAATAAATGCATTTTTTTCATTTGTTTTCAAACAAATATCAAAAATAATGTATCAGAATACTCCTCAGAGCTATTAAGAACAATAGAAAACTTTGATTCATGACAGTTCTTTAAATTTTTATCAGTTTTTTGCGTTTCCTGTAAATTCTCATCTGAAGGAGAAAGCACGGTTTGAACGTTTGCTCCTCATATATATATATATATATACTATATATATATATATATATATATATATATATATATATATATATATATATATATATATATATATATATATATATATATATATATATATATATATATATATATATATATATATATATATATATATATATATATATATATATATATATATATATATATATATATGAATTGGCGAGATGAGATTTAATTTACCAGAATCGTCATTCGTTTTTAAATTATTTTGAAGAAATCGACTAATGATTTCAAAGGAAGAGTATACATCGGAACGTCTAAGATGTTTAGGTGGAATTGAGAAATTTAAACCATTTTTAAGGATGTCTGATTCGTCATCCGAAAGTATACACGAAGAACAGTTTGTGATGAAATCGGAAGCATTTAATGGAGTAACTTTTTGCCATTTGTTAAATTATGTAATTTCTTTTCGTGAATTTTTCTAAACTTTTCCATTTCTTTTTTGGTATTACAATTCAAAGCTTTGATCAAAATAAATTTGATAAAAATCTATTGAAGATAAATTCACTTTGAAATTGGTTCAATAAGAGCAATTTTTTTACAAAATAGTAGTTTCTCTTTGTTGCGTCTGGCTATTGCACTACGAAGTAACCTTTTTCTTATCAAACAAAAATCCAACTTAGATGCACCAAGTAAATTAAAACATATAATATATATAAGTTTGAATTTAAAACGTATTGCACTACGAAGTAATCTTTTTTCTTATCAAACAAAAATCCAACTTAGATGCACCAGGTAAATTAAAACACACAAATTTTGGTAGAGCTCTAAGAGTTCTACAGCCAATCAAAAACTTATTATCTAAATTAGCTTTACCTAACTTCATGCGTAGTTTTTCAAGTTTTCTAAAATCACTTTTAAAAAATTGTTTATAATTATGAGCCGTGTCATTTATTATATTACCAAAACTTCTTTTTAGCACAAAATGCGATATTACTTTTAAAAATAAGACAAATTTTTTAATTTTATTTAAATCATTTTATTTATCAAGACATGTTTCTACTATACATATAGTCATCATCAGTTAAAATATATTTGTTAAAAACGGTATAAAATATAGTATATAATTGTAAAAATAAACATTATAAAAGACATAAAATCTTCTATGAATTTTTTAATTCTAGAATAGTACCAACTCTCTGGAAATTAGCAAATATTAGTCCGATCTATAAAAAAAGGGAGACAAACTACTTCCTGAAAACTATCGCCCTATTTCACTTACTTCTGTTGCGTACAAAATATTTGAAAAAGTTGTAAAGAATAAAATCTTGAAGCACATCAATGATAATTGATCTTGAAGCACATCAATGATAATCAATCTGCTCTCTACAAATCAACATGGCTTCCTTCATCATAAATTTTGTGCAACCAATCTAATAGAGACTTTTGATATTATTTCGTCTTCCCTAGCATCGTACCAGTTTATAGATGTAATCTACCTCGACTTTGCTGAAGCTTTTGATTCCGTACCTCACACCAGACTCATGTTAAAACTAAAATCATTCAAAATAAATGGCAAACTACTACAATGGATTAATTCCTTCTTAGTAGGCAGAAAGCAACGCGTTACAATTAACAATACTAGCTTTGAATGGATTGATGTTCTTAGTTGTGTTCCTCAAGGTTCTGTTTTCGGCCCGCTACTCTTTATTCTTTTTACAAAAGATCTTGCCCAACTTACAGAAACTTCTGAAGTAGGGGAAAGCGGGGTAACATGGCGAATGGGGCAAGATGGGTTTTCATATAACAACTCAACTAAAAATCTTAAAATTGAGTGAAAACGAAACTGTATTTGCATCTTGTATTTTAAAACACTAATTGGCTTTTTGAAATATTATTAACGCAATTTTATACAAATAAGTTTACTTTTAGCGCCTAAAAAAAAATACCTCACTTTCGGTTTCTCATAATGGATGGTGCCCTTCAAGTATAACTTCTTTAGAAGTAGTTTTTTGCAATTTTTGTTTATTTTTTGTTACTTTAGTTAGAGTTATTGGTAGTTTTTAAATTTTTATAAAATTGGAGGTAAAAATTGCATAATAAGTCATCTTGCCCCGGTCACGTGACCATATGACAAATTTATGAACTTTTTATTTTAATATTTATTTCAAATTGTTATATTTGCAAACTGAAAATTCATGCAGGCAATGAAAGAATTTAATAACGTAAACATACTGAGAAAGTATTATGTCTTCACGACTTATAGTTTTGCAACAACTCAGGGCTTTCAAAACGTTCGCCATGTTGCCCCGCTTTCCCCTATTTGCTGACGATACTAAACTTTTTTCTAAAACTTTATCGCAGACTAATTTCGTTGATCTGCAGGAGCGTCTACGCTTAGTATACGAGTAGTCAAACACTTGGTTACTTAAATTAAACATTTCAAAATGGTGTGTTATCCATTATGGTAAAACCAATCCTATGTATAGCTACTTTTTGCAAAATAACCAAGGTATAAATGAAAACCTAAGAAGCTCTATTAAAGAGTGTGATGTAGGAGTCATTTTTACCTCAATTGGAGTACACATATTCAATTAGTTGTCTCCAAATCTTTACAAATTCTTGGTATGCTTAAAAGGACATTCACCATCGTTGATGAAAAAATGGCTCTCAAATTATATAAAGTGTTTATAAGACCACACCTTGAATATGCAGTGTCTGTTTAGGCCCCGTATTTAAAAACTGACGTAGCTTTGGTTGAATCTGTTCAACGAAAAGCAACAAAATGGGCTTTAAACTTGAGAAATCTTCAATACTATGAAAGACTTAAAAGACTAAATCTACCATCACTCAAGTTTCGGCGCCGACGATGCTATCTAATACAAATTTTTAAACTAATACATTGATTTGATATAATTAATAATATGTATCAACCAAAATTTATTAACTAATTGTCACGTGGAATGAACTACCCGAACTACCCGAATGAACTACCCGAATACTGGAATGAACTACCCGAACAAGTAATTTTAAAACATAAGGAGTTGCACCCTATATATAGGGTGCAACTCCTTATGTTTTGAGATATTTGTAATTTTATTTGAAAAACTGCGTTATTACTTATTACTCGCTTGCATTATTAGTTCACACTATAATAATTTCCGCTCAAGAATTACCTAAAAAGTTTCAATTACCAAAAATTAGATAAGTAACTGGTTGTTAGTTATAAATTTTTGAGTTATAGTATCAGCAGCCAAATTTAAAGATTTGATTACGAAGTTTATTTTGACATAACTTTTACAATACAATTATCCGCAATTAGTTAATACATTATTTTAATGAAGCTAATTTTTAATGATCATAATACTTACCTAAATACGTAATAGGTACTATTTTATTTGTCATTGGGTGGTGCTAACTTCTAAATGACATAACGACAAACGATATTTCTAAAAATTTTGCTTTTTATTTAAATAATTTACGCAGCTTGTTAACTCAACAAGCCATTTATGAGTATACATTTTCAAAAAATATTTTTAACTTAATTAAACAATAAAAATTATAATAATCCTTTATTAAAAACTTTTATTAGGTTTTAAAAATAATATATTTATCAAGAGAGGATCGGAAGCTTTAAACGCGTTGATATTACCGTTAACAAAATGCTAACAATTACGTAAGTAATTAAAATATGTAATTATGTAAAAGAACGATTATCTATCATCGTTTAATAATCTTAACAATTTCGTGCTGACGTTTTATAAAAATATTATAGTTTTTTTAAACGTTGTTAACATATTTTAATTCTTAGCTTTTTATTCAATTTACCATGGTGTTTATAAAGTAAACGACATTTGAGACAAAGAGTTCCTCAGCCTACACGACGAGTAAGTTGTTTTTTATTTAAAATTATTTTTTAAACTATAACATTATTACTTTAAATTGAAGAGGTAAATCTTAAACTATTGATTTAATTTTTTATAAATTTTTAAATCAAATTTTTTTCAATTACTTTAAAAATATCAAAATTTAATAATAAAATTTAGTAATTATACTTTCCGTGTAAAAAAAAATGTCAATTTAAGAATGCTTTTGTTTTAGCGTTTTTATTATTAGTTTGTATTTTGTTATTAGGAGTATTATGTTTGTTGTGTTTTGCTTTTTTTTCTTTCATTTTGTAAACAAGTCTTTGTTAAGTTTCATTGTTTGCATTATTATTTGTTGTTCAATTCTTTTTTTTTCTTTTGAGTTTTTTTTTTTTTTTGCGTGTATTCCCTAAGGGTTACTTTTAAACGAAAGGATTACTTTTTTTGTAACTGTATAATAAGTAAAATTATAGGTAATAATAAATAATAGCAAGTAAAATTATAGGTAATAAATAATAGTAAGTATATATAAAAGCAATTGTATTATAAATAAATACAAGTTAAAATAATAGAAATTTGTAAATTATCAAAGGATTAGTTACTATAAAAGTGTTTTACTTAAAGAAAGATATATATATATATATAATATAAATATAATAAAAATATAATATATAATATATATATATATATATATATATATATATATATATATATATATATATATATATATATATATAATATAAATATATATAATATATATAAATATATATATATAAATATATAAATATATATATATAATATATAAATATATATATATATAATATAAATATATATATATATATAATATAAATATAATAAAAATATATATATAAAATTTTTAATCAGAATGTTTTCGAAGCATGTTTTTATTGCTTATTTAAAATAAACTTTGGTTGGATTTAATAAAATAAATCGTAAACCTTATTAAGTTTATGTAAACAATTTATTAATTGTTTCATTTAAAAAAAGATAATAAAAAATTACTTTCGTTATAGATATTTTTAAAATGAAAGTAAAAACTTTCATTATAGATACTTTCGAAAATGAAAGGTTTGTTATTGATTTTTCAGACGGTGAAAACAGTTAAAAATAAAAACAGAATTTTTAAATACCACGTTATCGACCGCTTGCAATGAACTTGAATAAAGATTTTTAATTCGCAAGTTAAATTATTACAACAAATATTTATTACTCGCGCTTTCATTGTTTTTTTGTCAACATAAGGTTAAAGTTTTGCTAATCACTTATGAGTGATAGAATTCTTGTTCTACTATTTATAGTAAAGTAGCAAAGTTTTGCTAGTAATATATATATATATATATATATATATATATATATATATATATATATATATATATATATATATATATATATATATATATATATATATATATATATATATATATATATATATATATATATATATATATATAGTTTTATAAAATTTTTTATTTATGTAGGTTTGTCTTTTTAAATAACAAACAAAGATGGATTCTGCTCTTGAGAATCCAGTTTATCAAGTTAAGGATCGCCTGTTTAGCGCACATCCGTCTTCATTTCATAATGATTTTTTTGAAGAACCAAAAGAAGATATCCAATTCATTAGCTCTCCGTCTTCATTTTTGAGGCATGCAAATGAAAGCCAAAACGAAACACTAAAAAGACGTGAGCGTCGTAAAGGAGTTATATCGAGTCCTATCTCACCTAATTTTATTAAACAAGTGGAAGTACCAGAAAAATTAACATATAGAGAAAGTGGTTTAAAGAAACTTAAATCTGGGTCGCTTGAATCTATCGCTCGATGGGAAAAAGAAAATGAATTTTTGTTTACATTAATTGAGGACGAGTGCGATTGGTTATCGCGGTTATTTCCAGACGAAAAAATAGACTCTAGTAATTTTTTTCAGTATTTAGAAGATGGCGTTCTGTTATGCAAGCTTTCAAAATTATGCCAAAACTACTCAGATGATTGTGCGAGAAGAAATAAAGTTCCGTTTCGAACATTTAACATTGTAATCCATCCACGTATAAAATGCCGTGGAAAAATTGGGCAGTTCATGAGTCGAGAAAATGTTGAGCTTTTTTTAAAATGGTGTCGCTATCATGGTATTCCAGAGCCTATTTTGTTTGAATCTAATGACGTAGTTGAAAAAACTGACCAAGATGGTCTTCGTGAAGGAGCCCGTGAAATTGTATTATGCTTAATGGAAGTTGCACGTTTAGGAGTAAAGTGGGGCGTTGAGCCTCCGAAATTAATTCAGTTGGAACAAGAAATTGAACGAGAAGAAAGTTTTGACGCAGCATCAGGTATTTGTTCATTTTCATTTTTTCAACTTTGTTTTCATTCTTAATTTTATTTTTACCTTTTTTTTAATTATAATTATTAATTACGGGTTTTATTATTAATTCTAGTTGTTTCTTATTACGATTAAAATGATTTTTTTCCCAAAGGCTAACTAATACCTAAATATTTTAGGGATGTCAAGTATACTTGATATTGCATAGATATTACATTTTAAAATGCAATTATGCGTATAAATTATTGAAGTTGTTTCTTATTCCATGTAAAGCTTATTTTATATTAGTTAAATATGTTTGAATATTTACTATTTTTAGATGAAAGTGGTAGTACTATATCAGTCGACTCTGGTTTTGATGCAATTGATTTTGACAATAATATGTCAGCTACGGAAAAAATTAACGCAAGCGAAACAGAAGAAAAAAAACAAAAACAAACTTCCGATATTAACATAAGTAAAAGCTCGGTCAATAAATCAGATCTTCATAATATGGTAAGTTAAATTTAATAAAATGTATTACAGTATTGTATCCTAAATAGAAAACAAATTTTTAAATGTTGGCAATATTTAATTTAAGAGATTAGTTATTTAATTAGAGTTTGAAACCGTAAAAGTCAACGACTCATAAAGCAATATTAAGCAATTGTTGGGGATTTTTGAATAGTTTTTTGTGGTTATGTCTTATAAAGTTCTAAATTGCTCTAGTAGAGTTGTTTCTAGGGTAAGGTGATGCTATGTAGTGTAACTTTCTCATAGTGGTGTATGGTCAACTTATCATGATCAAAGTTCATAATGACCATAATTATAATGAACGTTTCCGACTTATAATGATCATATTTTCATGGTAACTTTTATCGGGAAAACTCCATATTATGCGTGTTCTAACAAATGTTTGATGATGTCATTTTTTTTGGCAAAAGCAATAAATTTTTATTCCATCGATGTAAAACAAAGTGAAACAGTATATAGATGAACATAAGTTGACGTAAAAGATATCATTATTATTTCATAATTTAATTATGAAATAATTAAAATTTAATTTAAAACGTACTGAAAGCAGTACGCTCATAGAAAAACAAAGAAAAGAAAAGCTTCTTTTGTAAAGCCTTGTAAAGGTCAAGGTTCGCTGGTATTCGTTACATTTCTCACCAGCTAATATCGTTAAAAATGTTTCAATTTTCAAATATAAAATTTCCAAAATGTTTAGAATAGTTTTTTTTAAAAAAAGTTATTAGCTCAATGCTATTAAATAAAAATAATTGTTTAAAATATTTAAATGAAAATCATATTAAAGTATTAAAGCTTTTGACTTGGGCTAAAAACAAACACAACTTTCTTTACTTGGGAAAACATCCTTAAAAACAAAACACAACTTTCTTTACTTGGGCAAACATCCTTAAAAACAAACACAACTTTCTTTACAACTAGTAAAAAATTAAACATTATTTAATTTAAAAAAAGTTTAAATAAGAGAATCATTAATTTAATTTTGCACAACGCTTAGACCTCGCCAGAAACTACAAAAAAATTTCTAATACTTGGTAATTCAAAATATGGCTTGGCCACAAGATAAGTATCAATTTGATAGAAATCAATTTTTTTTTAACTTTTTGATTTTTAAAATATTTTATGCAGACATACCAAAACTACGACCATTTAAATTGAATGCAAAACAAACAAGAAAGTTAGCAAAATATAAAAATGATAATACTCAATTTTAAAGTTTCAATACTGAGATATTGAAAATTATTTAATATATAGACAGAAAAGCAATAAAAAATGTACATACAATGAGTTACTCGCGATTCCATTAAATAAATACTGAATTCGTCGTAACTGTAATATACCTGATTAAATTAATCAGACCGGGTTTTTTAGTACGCTTGATTAAAATCTGTACAATTATCTTTTATTACACTTTACCGGGGCAGATGTCGTATTTTTTGATGTTTAGGTACAAATAAGCCAAAAAATTTTAACTACATATGCCCCAAACGTGAGAGCAAGTTGATAAAAAATATTTTATACTATTTTCAACTAAATTTATATTTCTCAAAAAATTTTAAATTTCATAAAATATTCTTTTAGCGTTCAAAAATTATGGCATTATAAATTTTCTAAACCTCAAATTGAGGGGGGTTCAATATTTATATGGACATTTGAACGTTTAGAAATTGTTGTATAAGTTTTAAAATTTATCGATGAATATAAGTTTAGTTAAAAATAGTAGAAAATAAATTTTATTAATGTTGTTTTTATGTTTGGAACAGGTGTAACTAACATTTTAGGGTTTTTTTTGTTCCCAGACTCCAATCATTGCAATTTTTGTAGAGCATCCATATTTGACATAAGTATAAAAATAAAAAATTTGGCATTTGCTCCATGTTTGGAAATTAAAAATCTCAAATATTAAAAAGTGGTACATCCGCCCCTTCTATTAGAGGCGATTTTAAAGGGGAGGGCGAGTCACAACACCCTTCACCCCCTAAGTTTTAGTCAGTTTTTTAACGCATATAGTCGGGTAGTTGACACATTTCAGTCGGGTAAGTTTTATTTTTGAGGACCTTTTTTTTTTCTTTGCAGGAACCCAGTCGTACTTTTTAAGGACTTGCCCCCTCTTTTTACTCGTAAAATTGTCTCTGTCTGCTATAGTAATCTTCTATTATGGGGAAATGTTTTATTAAAAGATATTAAAATTCATTAGGTGACTAGTTTGATTGAAGCATACCAAATTCAAAAGGCTACAAGACTCAAAGAGGGGAAATACATTATTTTAGGTCGAGTGATGTTTGTGAGGGTAAGACTCATTTTGTATTTAATGTTTTTACATGTTAAGTTATAAACTTGTAGCTTTTTTTAGATATAAAAATTTTCAAATCAAGTTTATAAAGTTATATAATTTTAAAACTATTTTTACTTTTTTTTTTCCATAGCTTTTAAACAACCATTGCATAGTTCGAGTTGGAGGGGGATGGGATACTCTAGAACATTATCTCATGACTCACTTATCTTCTGCTATTGGTAATTACTTAAAAAAGATTTTTTATTGAGTTGCGTTTTAAAATATATATATATATATATATATATATATATATATATATATATATATATATATATATATATATATATATATATATATATATATATATATATATATATATATATATATTATATATATATATATATATATATATATATGTATATATATATATATATATATATATATATATATATATATACACACATATATATATATATATACATATATATATATATATATATATATATATATATATATATATATATATATATATATATATATATATATATATATATATATATATATATATATATATTATATATATATATATATATATATATATATATATATATATATATATATATATATATAAATTGTGTAACTGTTTACAATTATTATTTAACTATATATGAGTATTTTATCATTTCTGTGGTTAAATTGAATTGTTTTATAGCTCATTCTAAGTATCGGTATTTTACAAAATATTAGATCATCATTAAAAAAATACTCTTAAATCAAATACTTTTTAAAAATACTTTTAGATCCTACCAGTTTTGAAAAATCTTCAGATCATAGTTCACCTGCTTCTAGCATAGAAACATCAAGGAAAAAATCTTTTTTTAAATCGAAAAAATCACTACTCAGTAAGTTATTTATCACTTTTGTTTTAAGTCTTATTTACTTTTGCTAAAAAGTATTTTTCTATCGTTCAAAGCTTTAAAAAAATTGATGTTTAAAAATATGTTTAAGTTATATACATACGTGTTTGTCACAAACCAAGTGTAAACCAAGTGTAAACCAAAAACAATTTCACGGGCAGTTTGCTTTAGTTTCATGAGTTTTAAAAGTCAACTTTAAAATGTTACGTGTTTTTATTAGTGGTTTCACATTCATTACGGAAATTTTGCATAATGTTATACGAAATTTTCGTAACCGTGCTACGTTTTCGTAACGGTGCTACATTTTCGTAAAGGTGAAACTATTAATAAAAAATTAGTGTTTCGGAAAATATTAGTAGTTAATTTCAAGAATTGAAACCCTATTATTAATACGTATTATTTTTTTGTTTTGGGGGGTTTTAAATAAATGATAAGAACGGGATATATAAGTACGGGCCCTGTATATAAGTAATATAGTTTTAAATAATATTCTTTTAACAATATTATGTTATATAATCTAAATCACACATAAAATCACATAAAAAAAAACAAAAAACATAGTTTAGTAATGATAACAAAATGTATATTACAATAAGTAAAAGTCCTAACACACCTAGGTTTTTGTTTTTTCTTTTATATATTTACACTTTTTTTTAATATATATTTATTTTTATCGCTCAAACATACTTACAACAGTTATGGATTGAAAATTATCAAAACGGTAGGCCACATGATATCATGGAATATTCTAGAGTTTACAATGCATTGCGATAGAATTATTACAATTGGTTAAAATTCAAAATGAGGTAAGATCGTGAGTTTTGAATGTATGGCCCATATGATAGCCACATCAAGTTTAACACGTATTTATGTAAGGATTATACCACATTAAGTGGAATAGTTATGTGAACCGCATTATGTGTTCCACATGTGGGCCAGACTTATCTTCATCAATTACGTCATTCATCAACGGTAATATATTTTTGCACTTTTAATCCACACGAAAGCACTATGACCATGTGTGGGCCACATATACCTTTCTTGTCGGAATAAATAAATTATAAACATATTATAAATGGTCGTAATATACTTGGAATATATAGGCAGCCTTATTTCGTAAAATTAAAAACGAAAAGAGGAAATAAAAAGCAAAAACATTGTGCCGTTTAACATAACAAAATTGAAGTAGTTTATATTATTATAACTAATAATTTTGCATGTTATGTTTTTGACATAATTTTTGTTGTTTCTCTATTAAAAAATTGTCTCAATAAATATTTGTTATGTTTATTTATATAATAAACTAACGGATATAGAACGTCCACTTGAAGACTTACGGACGTAAGTCAATATTCTATCTTCTTAAACTTTAGAAGATAAAATATAGGTTACATTGGAGCACAATGATCTCCATAAATAAAAAACTCCATAAATTTTTTTTTTTATTTTCTTTAAATTAAGATTTTTGAAAAATATACTTACGAGCATAATTAAAAGAGTAATAAACCGAACAATGAAATTAAAAAAATAGTGAATTAGTAATAAAAAGAAAATAACAACATTACAAAACTAACAACTTCTACTTAAAGTTGCAAGTGCTGTGACAATAAAAACACATTTTGTAAAAATAGACCAAGGCAGAATTCAACGAAATCAATAATAAAATATGATTTTTTTTTTAAAGCCAAGGCCAACAGTTTCAAGGCCAAGACTAAGGCCAAGACCAAGGCCAAAGCCTCAATTTTTAACCTTAAGGCAAGGCTAAGGACTAACAACTCTGCCTTAAGATAAAACAAATATGTACATTTTAACATTATGTATATTGCAATAAAAAAATATATTTCAAAATTTAGCTACATATGTTCTTTCATATAGAAAGAAAACATTTCAACAACAAAATATTTAATTGCACTTTAATTAGATTACACCCAGTGCTGGCTTTACCCTTCCTGCCGCCCTCGTGCGAAATTTTTTCTACCACCCCTGACAATTTATAAACTTGCTGGTAAATTACACGGAAAATAATAACAAATCGAATTCAAAAATAACTTCAATGAAATGCTACACACAAAGAAACGTTTTTTGTTGATATTTTACTCAAAACACATTTAGTTTTTTAAATTAATCTTTTGGCTCTTTTTATCATCAAAATTTTTGATTAGCGTAGAAAAATCAAGATTTTCAGCAATATCGTTTTCAATCGATAGGGCTCCTAAACTTGAAAGTCTATCCTGCGACATTGTTGACGGCAGATAGATTTTTATCAGTTCCATTTTAAAAAGCTTCTTTCTCTACTCGCTACAGTGACAGGTATTGTTACCAAAAGTCGCATTGCAATTCATGTGTTTGGATACAAATTTTGCATTTTATGCTGTTTTATAAAGTTTAAAACAATAATAGGAATAATTTTATCCTTGACCATTTCAGAAAGAAAAGGTTTAATGCCCATCAGTTCATTGCAAAGGAGAATACCATTAATGTCCGATTTTAGATTTACGGTTGAAGGGCTAAACAGAATTTCAGAATTTCTTCTCTTTTTTGCAAACTATCGACATCATACAAAAAACCCCAAATTTCTGAATAATTCTCTAACTCTATAAATCTTTCTCTCATTGAAATTAGAGATGTGTCTAAAAGAGGATTGAAAAAATCAATTTCTAATTTTTTTTCAGAAGAAAATAAAAAAATCTCATCTTGGGCTGGTACGTCAAAATGGCGTTTTACTCATACTATTCTTTTATTAAAAGTTTCAAGTGGTTTAAAAAGGGCTCCACTTGTAATTCTACGGCCAAATCTTTTGCTTTTGTAATTGCATCTTTAAAGTCACATTTTCTGTAGTTTTCTAAAAATGAGCAACAGCTTACCACTAATTTTGCACATTGAGTGATGTCCATGTCTTGCTCTTGAAGAGTTTTACTAACAATATTGACTTGAAAAAGAACGTCATACCAGACAAGTAAAGAGACAAGAAAGCTAAAATCTTTTAATTGCTCTGCTAAGGTTATCGCTTCATGTGCAGTTTCAGGATCACATCCTTTAATTTCTGACAATGCTATCAAAGCATCATGTAAATCACCAACTTGATAACGAGCGGCTTTGACACTACTTATTTTTGCTTCCCACCGCGTGTCACAGAGTTTCATTAAATGCAAAATTTTAACGTGATTAACTAAAAGTTTCCATGGACTCACTGAGGCTGAGAACCCAGCCGGTACATCTAGTTTTAATCTCGGAATTAAAACCCGTATAAACACGTAATTGTTACGATCCAGGCGTAAATTAAAAACACATGGATTTCACGGGAAGTTGAACTGGAGTTATACACGTGTTTTCTGAGGTTTCAAATACGAGTTTATTTTATTTTTTAAACACGGGTTTAATGAGGTTTTAAATACGAGTCTTAGGAGGTTTCAATACGGAAATTAAATCTAAAACATACACGTGAATAACGCGATCAAAGTGTAAACCAAAAATACGTAGACTTCACGAAAGATTTATTAAAGTCTGCTACGGAATTTATACTAAGATTTCAATCATGCAAACTACTTTTTTTTAATTTTTGATCAATGATTGGTGACTTTTTACCAATCAACATATATAAATTCTCTAAACTTCGATTGACTTCAACTAAAATATGATCGTTTTTATTATATTTTACTTGCTACATTTTTTTGACAATGCGCTTTTGAATCTTTGCAAACAGGTCCCATTGCTTCAAATTTCCGCGTTAACTTTTCTTTAATTATATTGTCTTTAGAACGGATCTCAAATTTTATCAGGTCGTCCATTGAGGTAACCTGATCAAACGTAACTACATTTGAACCTTTATCCAAAAGCTGATGTAAAAGACCGACAGCCATATCGACAGTTTTTTCAATCTTGTTTATTTTCATTTTCAAGTGATGTTGTGACATTGTTATTTTACGCTGAAATGTGGCATTATCCATTGGATATGTTTCGTTGGTAGGAGTTTTTGGTCTACCTCCTTTATTGTTAAAGTTTTTTGATGACTCACCTTGATATATATATATATATATATATATATATATATATATATATATATATATATATATATATATATATATATATATATATATATATATATATATATATATATATATATATATATATATATATATATATATATATATATATATATATACATATGTGTATATAACGCATTTTATGTTGGTGTTTATAACAATATTAGTACTTATAATTACTAATATTTGACAATAATAGAAATAAATAATGTGATATAAAGTAAAATCACAATATTTATGTAAAGAGAAAATTTATTTCCGAATAACTTTTACAAACTATGCTTTAGAAGAAATCGCTTTTACAAAATCGTTCTGTTTAAGAATTCTGTACAATTCTAGTCGATAAGTTTTGTATGGTTTTAGTCATGGTTTCACTTTAGTAACGGAAACTTTAGTTGAAACTTTAGTAGAAACTAGTAGTTAATTTCACGGAATCAAAACTATTTTTGACACGTGTTATTCTTAGTGTTTTCAAGGGTTTTAAACACGCAACAGAAACCACTAGTAATTTTTTAACGAGTTTTGCCGCTTGGGAATAGAATGGTTTTAGAATCTGAATAAACCATCTACGGCAAAAGGTTTCTCCATTTGCAGGTTTTCTATTGTAATAAATGCTAGAAAAATGTCGACCATTTCTATCTTCAGAGTATTTTTCCTTTGTAATTTGAAAAGGTTTAATTAAATGGTCCACAATGTTGCTAGATCGAACAATTGGCAACTTTCCACAATCCAATAAATTAGATGTTTCTTTTACAAAATCTTCCGTTAATCATTTGATTCTTTTAAAATAACTGGTTCATTATCTACTTTGATATCTAATGAAGTTATACAATTATTTTTGAGTATTGTTGAAGTTTCTCCAACTTTATTGGACATCAGAGTTGAAATCTTGTTAGGTTTTTTATAAGCAACATATTTTTCAATGCTCATGAATTTTTTCAAATTTTTGATCTTTTTTGGACTTTTTTTTTCTGTACTCATACCCAGACAATATTTTTCTCGAAATATTATGTGACATGAAACAGATTATTTTCTATTCGTAAGATAAAATTATTTCTATTGAAAAAAAAAAAAAAAAAAAATTGATCAAAGTTCTCAAGAAACATTGATAAAATTCTTAAAGAAGATAAAACAAAACAAAACTTACTAATTTTTGAAATTGAGTCAACTTAACACTTAATAAAAAAAATATGAACGTTTGAACTTCTTTATGAAAAAAGTTGTGCAACTTTTCGAAATGACTCCTAGGGAAAATAACGCACAAATAATACTATAAAATGCAATAGAAAACCATGCGTTAATTATATTTTTTAAGTAAATTTTGACATTTTTTTGTGAAGGTCAGGCCTTAAATCTTTTATTTTTAATTTACTATTAGAAAATTAAAACTTGTAGCTAATAAAATTATCCGCTCCTATTTACTTGCCGCCCTCGTGCGGCGCACGTCCTCGCCCCCCTCCCTAAAGCCGGCCCTGATTACACCCGTGAATTAATTCAAATATACGATAACCTAAAAATGTAAAAATTCATTATATACAAACGTCTGTAAGTGTAAACGTCACTAGGTTAGGTTGAGGGAATCATAAATGTAAGTTGAGTTAGCGAATTGTATATGTAAGTTGAGTTTGAAATTTGTAAGGATCGTAAATGTAATGTGTATAATATAAGATAATTTTTGTAATTGTTAAAAATAATTGTAATGTGTATAATATAAGATAATCTTCATAACTTTTCTGACAAATTCTTTTTTTACATTATAATAAACTTTTATAAATTACTATATAGAATTTATGTCGTCATTTATTCTATTTATTCGTTTTTATTTGATTTCAAATAACTAAAAAAATACTTTCATTTATTTTAGCTAAATCAACTCCAAACCTTCAAAATATATTTGCAGACGTAGAATTTGCTGATATTTCGCGTACGCCGCCTCATTTGTTTTCTCCTCCGGATTCACGCCCGCCATGCAGCAAAGACCCATATATTGAGATAAAGAAAAAAAAGTTGTACGACGATAGAAAAATTTCACAGGCAATTTTAAGGGTGTCAGTTGATGTTAGTAATATGAAAAAAGCTGCTTCCTTAGATTGGACTCAAAAAACCTTTGATAAGTGGAGGCAATCTTCTTTTGAAAGTTCTTCACAAAATGAAATTAACATTGTTCCGGCAGTAGAAAAGAATGGAATAATACCTAAGGTAATATCTTCTGAGACATTATCTGAAAAAGATCTTTCTCAAGATTTTACTGAAATTTCTTTAAAAAACGAATTAGAAAAAGAGTTAGAAAGTTATTCTATAACAAGTCTTTCACCACTTAAAGAAGAACATTCAAATAATAATGAAACTATGAATTGTAAACATGACTGTAAACAAACTATAAATTGTAAAGATTCAAATGATACCTCTTCACCAAGTGTTTCTACTAATCACAAAATAAATAAAGAAAATAGCGAATCAGCTGTTACACCTAAAAAAAATGACACAAAAAAAGAAGCAACTGTAGCTCAAAAGTCCAAAATAGGTTCACCTCTTTCCATTAATTCAAAAAAAAGTTCACCTCTTTCCACTAGTTCTAAGCCACTTTCAAATAGTATAACAAAAAGTAATAAACCAATTACAAAAAATACTTTAACATTAAGAAAAAGTTTGTCTACTTCAAGTTTATTAGAAAAAAATTCATCGAAACCTTTTGACAAACAGTCATTAAGAACTGATAAAACTAAATCAATCATGGACAATACCAGAAAAAAATCAGCTACAAGTAGTATTAGCAATTTATCGAATCGATCACCAACCCAATTTAAGAAGCCAAATGGAGCTTCAAATTTAGGAAATGAGGAAAAGCAACAGCGTATTAAAGTATCAGAAAAAAACAGATATGAAACTTTGTCATTAGCAAAAGCTAAATTCTCCGTTACAAAGAACAAACCGAATGAAGATACAGCGAAAAGTCTCTTAGTAAAACCTTTAAAAAAAAGTGAAAAGACTTTACCACTGCCAAAAAGTAAACTCTCTATAGCAAGAAAAACATCAAATGATAATGAAGTTACGGCAAAAAATATTTTAGTCAAACCATTTTTAGTATAGCTGAATTACCAACTAATAAGAAATAACCAACATTGAGTATTTTTTCTTTGATCTTTTAACATTTGATATGTGCTTTAGGTGAATTTAAAACTAATTTATTTAAAATATCTTTATATAAGCGTGTTAACGAATTTCAGTGTTATTAAAAAGCTGCAGAATATGTTTTATCAGAAACATGTATTTTTATATTTTAAAAACCGATAAATCTATATTTATAAAATACTGGTTTTGTTTTCAATAGCTTTTAGACTTTTAACGTTCAAAACATAGAACGACTTTTTTTTATCGGAGTGTTTTTTCGTACTTTTTTCACGTGCGAATAGACTATATTTAACTATAATCTATTCGTACGTTTAATAAAAAAAAAGTAAAGATTATCGAATATAAAGAAAATATAAAAAAGTTATATTTATTTAATATTGGTTTTTAACTTTAAAACTAAACTAGCGCAGTGGTTTTCTTTTATTTTTTCTTTCAGTGGTCTTCGGAAATCCTTTAAACTGAGAAGGGCTTAAAAAAGTTAATACTTTCAGAATCTTTGGCTTGACTTGACTTGGCTTGGAACTAAAAAAAGGCTTTTAAAGCTTTTCTGGTGAAAGTAATAAGTTATTGGAATTGAGAGTTTTTCCAGTGCTTGTTTGCTATGTATTCGGATTGTTTTTATCAGTAATAACACTACATAAAAAATCGCTTCTGAAAATATATTCTTGTCAAAAGGATATATTTCACTTTTCGTAAATCCACTTTGAATGTTTGTGATAGTAAAACTTTTTTCATATGCAATTTTAATACAAGATGCAATTTCATAAGTAGTGATTCTCGAGAGATGATTTAGAACACTCACAGTGGCACTCCAGGATAATTGCCAAGATTTCACTGCGTCATTATAATAAAATTTAAATAGAGCAAATACAGAAACATCTAAGGGCTGCATTTTGCGACTACTATGTGGTAGTATAGAAAGAATAGTAGCACTGTTACATTTAGCAAGATCAAAAGCTTTTTTAGATAAGTATCTTTCGTGATTATCAAATATAAGTAGAGATGGATTTTTCTTTGACAGTGTTTTATATCAAAAATGTTTTTGAAATAAAATGTTAAACTAATTCATCAAATAACTTTGTATTCATTAATCATTGCAAGACCAAGAGATCTAATTGGTGCATTATTAAGCATATGTCGCTTATAGATCTTAAATTTACAACAGACTGTCCGTAGCACATTTGAGAACAAGAGACAATTTACTGCTTCAAAAGATTTTCTTACTCTTTAGTAAATACTCTTCTAATAAAAAAAATTTCATAGTAATGATTTCTCTTTCTTTTATTACTTTTTTCTTTTTTTATATATCTGTATACATAAAAACACACATTTAGAATTTGCTTTTAGTCACAAACTTATACAAGTTTCATTTACTAACTAGGACAATTTTATTTATACTTATTGGTGCAGAATACATGAGCATAAATTAACTGCAAAAGGTGCTGTGATTAAGATTCACTTTTTCTGCGGCATTTGATGAACACCTTCCTGTCAAATGTTAAATGAATACCCTTCTGTTAAAACTAAACAGCTACCTCCATTGAACTATTCAAGAAGGTTCCTTAACTAGTTTTTTGATAACAAAGATTTTATATATGCAATATACGCAAGCACTCTAACTTTTTTTAACACTTGATCTTTTTGCAATACAATCTTTCGCAAGGAACTTGCTTTCGGTTACTTTACCAAGTATTATTATTCGTTTATCAACTTACTCAATATGTCAGAGTGTTTAAACTGGTTCAAACAGTTCTAAAATATATATTCTTCTATTTAAAATATTTAATTCTTTAAGAACATTTAAACAAATCTCTTTGTTAAAAAAATATATTTTTTTTTTTTTATTTTTTTATTTGAATTTTCATGCTATATTTTTCTATACAATATTATTATATCCGAAGATATTGTTGGCTTAGCATAGGAACAGCCACAAATATTTATTAAGACTAATCCAAAGTTGCGTCCGTTATTGACCAACATTTTTGCGTACCGAAGTACTAGTCAAGCGCTGAGTAGGCGGTGGCAGTATTTGAAATCGTATCTTACAACTGTCCGGGTTAAAATTTTTTGTTCGACTCTCTAACCAACTGAGCTATCCAGTCATTTGTTATGTGTGTTCACAAGTTTGTGCTCAGGCAAGTCATCTTTTCCTTGGTATTAAGCAGCAAGTAAAATAGACGCATACTATTGATAGTATACTTTTTGATGCAACAATATAATGTGGCAAATACATAACCACTTAAATAACAGATCAATCTCTATTTGAAAATAGGCTAGCCTTTCCAGATGAAATTGTATTGCTTAGATCAACCAAAAAGATATGACAATATATAGTTACATATTTCGTGCCCAAGTAATGTGAAATCTTACAAAAATAGTAATGTTATCCGAGATATATTTGTATAAATCCCTTGAAGTAAAAAAAACCTGATATGCTGTGTTAGCATATCAGGTATTGAAACAAAAGCTTTAAAATGATTTAGTTTCAAAACAATCTAAAAGATTTGCAATACTTATTTCTAAATATTTTTTAAATGTTTTTAAGGTTAGATATTTCTTATGTTATCTTAGCTTTTTTAATATCTTTTTAAATGATTTTTTTTCTGGTGTGTAAATATACATTTTGTAAGATATTAATAGTATATATTGGTAGCAGGAGCAAGAAGAAAAATTATAACGACTTATTACCAAGCCTCTTGATATATTTCGTAAATAGTAAGAATAATAAATTTTGTTAACTATATAAACTAAAATAAATGTAAAAAAACATTAAATGTTAAAATAAAAATTGAAAACTTTTATATTTGTTATATGAAAAATTATTAATTTATCTATAAATGCTAGTTTCAAGCAACAGAAAATCCAAAAAATTAGTTTAATGTAAAAATAAATAACACTTAGAAAAACAAGAAAAAACAAAATCAAAAGCTAAAATCATAAATATTGTAAAAAAGTAATTATTAACTTAAAACTTTCCAATAAACAGAACAATGATAACTTAGAAATAAACAGAACAATGATAACTTGCTTTGCAGTAAATTTTTTATTATTAAACTCTGTTTCAATTTTGACTTAGATTCTTTTGAAGTTTGTAAAGTTTTAAGTTCATTTGAAAGTATTTTATTCCATACCTTGGGTCCTGTAATAGAAAAATTAAAAATTCAGTTGCCAAAAAATAACTTTTGCGCTGTATATATGTATTATTTTAATACCTAGTTAAGTATTTATTTTGATTTATTTTAAATAACGGATTGAAAATTTTAGGAATACTAATTTTATTAGTTTTTAAAACAAAAATTAGAAGATAGTAAATATTTATTTGGTAAATATTTAGTATTATTAACTTGGAAAATAATGGTTGGGAATGTGTATAACGGCTAACAATGGATTTAATTCTGACTTTGTGTTTTTGCATATTAAAAAGTTTTTTTAATTTATTCTTATTGGTGCTGCATCAAGCAATGTGAGCATAATTAAGATAACAATGTATAAATGATAAATATAAGATTTTTAAACAAAGTGGATTTATAAAAAGTTGTTTTTTTTTAACTTGAAAAGACATGTAAATATTGCTGGTAACGTAAAGAATTAAATCCTATAAGATCAAACATTTTTTGATTTTTTGTTACAAAATTGACAGGAAAGTGATCTTTGTGATACGTCCAAATCATATTATTTTTCAACGTCATCTAACAAATACTGGTCAGTAACAGCAAAAATAGAATCGCCTTTTTTGTCGTCTCGAATAACTTAACAATCTGATCGACCAATTCCAATAAAAGTACTTAAATAAAATATTTAATTAAATATTTTAAAACAAAGTTTTCTCACAAAGCTTTCACAGAAGGGAGGTTTACAAGTTTCAAACTGTCACAAAAGGAAGGCACTGTAAAATATGTACCCCACAATTAAAGCATATATATTGTGTATACAAACTAAATTTTAAATTCTTAAAAATAAATCATACCCTTAAAACTTTTAAATACTTTAATATTGGTACTGTAAATTTATACTTTCTTGTTGTAACCAAGCCCGGCGCAGTGGAGGGTTAAGTCGGTAAAAATTGTCTTGGCACCCTCCCTACTCGCACCGGCCCTGATAGTAATTTTATTCACATAATTTTATAGTTACAATATAGCTGCGTATAAATCGCAAATAGATACTTTTCAACATGTCAAGTCAACATTTAAGTTGTTTTCGATCAGCTTTTTTTTCCGATACATATTCCAATACATATTGTAAATATAAAGTAGGTATATGCTTTTTCATGCAAAATGTGGCTAGATTACACCTTTAGCAGAGTAAAACTTCTATTTTTGTGTGGTTTTTAGCATTTCTTACAATTTTTATATGAGTTTGAACTTAAAATTGTGTTTTTTAATTTTTTTTTGTTGTTTTTACCAACTTGCTATTTTTCTTTATTTTTAATTTAGTTACTTTTGATTTTCTGAATTTAACAAAAAGATAATATTTTAGTTTTTAATTAGCTCTTTGCATTTGCAGGGTTTACAGCTGTATATGTATCATCAAAGTGTTCAGGGCCGACCCAAAAAGGTTTTAATAGGAAAGTCACGTATCTGTTTTTTGCTGACTAGCGGCCTAGTAACGCAAAAAAAAAAAGTCCACGTTACACCGACTTCCACCTAAAGTTCCAAACTTACCGTTTGCAGGTCCGAATTTGACACCTAATATTTGAATAAAGGTTTTGTAGTGTAGTTGGTCACCCCTATACCTCTTCCCCCTTCGCTAGGGACAGCCCTGAAAGTGTATATATGTAACAGATATATGGTAATACAATTATACTCACTATAGTTAGTCCGTTCAGGATTAAAATTATCTTGGTTCTCCTGCTACTAGTACTATGTAATCCAGTACAACCTATCCTATGTCTTTTTATACAAAAGATAGAAGTTAACTTACTATTGTTTTTAATACTATTTAATATCTCTTAAATATACAGTAATGTCTATTTTTATCTGTTATGTACTTAAAAATGTCTTAGTTGCTGCCTGTAAGTTTCTCCTTATGTATGTTTGTGTTCTTCTACGACATCTGACGCGGTTTTCACTTATCCGTAAGTTACTATACGTATGCCAGTGTTCTGTGTGGATCTTTGGCGCACCATTAGCTTATTCGATAGTTACTATATGTATGTTTGTGTTTTGTTTAAACCTCTGATT